AGTAAATCAGGCAAAAAAAAAAAAGAAGATATCAATAATAGTAAATAAAAAAAGGGGCAATCATCAACCATAAAAAAGACATCAATAATATATTTAAAAGGAGATGAAATAAAAGCCCATTAAAGAATTATTATTATTTATCACGATTAGAGAATTATTATTATTTATCACTAAGAAAGCCTATTAAGATGGTTATAATATCATTGTAAAAGGTTCTGATAACACCAAAAAAAAATTGTACATACAGTCAAAGAAATAACTGAAAAACAAATAAAATAAATTATTGTGAAGTGAACTTCTCATAATATAAAAAAAAATTATACATGCAGTCAAAGAAATGACCGAAAAGCAAACAAAACAAACTATTGTGAAGTGAGCTTCTCATGTTCATATTTAATCAATTAATGTAATCTAATTTAAAAACAAAATTTACTTTAAAAGAGCTAAATTTATATAAAAAATAACAAAAAATGACCCGAGATAATTTGGATCATTCTCAAAATTAGTAAAAAAATATTATAAAAAAAAATAAAAAAAAAATAACAAAGACCAATCTCTAATCAAATAAATATTAAGGGATCAAATTTAAAAAACATGAGATTAAAAACAAACAAACAAACAAACAAATTCGGAAAAATATCCTAAACTTGGGTAAATCTTCTAATTGCATCTCATTTTATATTTAATCAATTAATTTAATATGATTAAAAAAAACTCATTTTAAAAAATATAATTTAATAAGTACAAATAAAAAGATATAAAATAACCCAGATCATTTTCAAAATTAGAAAAAATCTTATAAAAAGCAAATAAAAAAATAACGGAGCTCAATCTCCAGTTTAATAAATAATAAGGGATGAAAGATGAAAAAAAAAAAACATGAGCTTAGAAAATGGAGGGGAAACCCAAGAAACCCGATCAAATTTTCTAAACCTGAGTTAATCTTTCAGGCTAATCCTTTATTTATATTTAATCAATTAATTAATTCTAATTTAAAAGCAAAATTCATTTTAAAAAAGCTAAAATTTAAAAATAATAAATAAAAGAACCCAAGATAACCCGAGTTATTTTTAAAATTAGTGAAAAATCCTATAGAAAGCAAACAAAGAAAATAATAGAGCTCAACCTCTAATCAAATAACTATTGAGAGATGAAAACACAAAAACCTGAGCTTAAGAAAATATATTAAAAAACAGTAAAATCCGAGTGAATCTCTTAAATCTAAGTTAATCTTCCAAGATCATATCATGTTATATTTAATCAATTAATTTAATCCAATTCAATACAAAATTAATTTGAAAAAAACAACATTAAAAAAAAATGAGAAACAAAAAGATCTAAGCTAATCCGGGTCCTTCTTAAAATTAATAGAAAATTCTATGGAAAGCAAAGAAAAAAATAATGGAGCCGAATCTCTAATTGAATAAATATTGAGGAACGAAACCGAAAAACATGAGCTTAAAAAATGTGAAGAAAAACTAAATGAACTCTAACGAATCTTCTAAACTTAGATTAATACTAAAATTCGTAACTCATGAAATCCAAACCCACACTTAATTAAGAAGTTCAATTCCTAATAAATTTAATGTGAAGTATGAAAACAAAAAAATTATCAATTCAAAAAATTTGCTTAATAAAAAAATAATAAAAAGAATGATGATCAAGTTTGATCATTGTAGAATTTGATAGGGTGAAATTAATTTTTTTAACAATTTCATAAAACATCCCAAATAAAATAAACAATAATAACATAGACCGAATGTGAAGGAAGAAAAAATTGAAAGGTCAACTTAAAAATTTAGAGGGTCAGACACGGAAATCTTAGAGGAAAGAGAGAGAAAAAGGCCATCAATGCTAAACCTAAGCCTCTTCAACAACACGCACTACCTGGGTATGAAAGAGACACCATGATGAATTATACATCATCGCAAAAGATAGTATTTAGTGGTTAAACGATGGCTTATGCGCCTCCTAAAAGGTATGAAAGCTGCCCACATGTTGACATATGCATGATATCATGATGTTTTAAACTATTTTTTATTTAACTATATAAAAATAAAAATAGATATTTTTAAAATTGAGCATCACCACAATATCATGATATTTGTTTGAGATCATGAAAACATTATAAAAAACAAAATAAAACAAATTATGAAGTTAAATTATCCATTAACATAGGTTAACCCCTCGAATTCGTGATGTAGGCCATGAACCTTACTATATTTAATAAACTTTTTTGATTTTATTTTTTTTATATTTAGTTAATTTTTAAGAGGTTTTTATTTTTTATAATATAATCAAAATATAACATAGGTTATGAATCTAATGAGTTAACCTAAGTTGATCGAAATTGATCCAATACATTATTCTTTTAATGTTAAAAAAATGTTGGCTTTATTTTTTAAAATTCAAACCTTTTTTACCAATAATCCAAATTCCTTTTAAACTTGAACGTTATGTCTTTATTTTTTGTTATTTGATTTTTTTTATTTATAAACTTATTAAGTTAAATAGATTATATTAAAATAATTTTTATGTAATTTAATTAATAATCTCAACTTGATAAGAAATTTAATCAGGAATTTTTAAATTTAACTCACTAAATTAAATTTAATAACAACATAAAAAATACTCCATAGCTTAGATAATTTTTCAACAACCACAGCGAGAAGTAAAGTAAAGTAGTTTACAGGCTATTCATTCGGCCTTCAACTTCTCTCTTTCTTTTTGTAATCATTAACTCTTGCCGAGGCACTAAAACATTAAAAAAAGGAGTCCACTCTGTTTTTATGGTTACACTAGAACATAAAAAAGAGGAGTCCACTCTATTTTTATGGTTATTTTTTGTTTATAAGGCAATTTTTGGTATTTTAATAGTGCTTAATATTGTGATATTAATTATTTCTTAAAACATTTTTAATATTAATATATTAAAATAATCCAATGATAAAAAATAATTTAAAATTAAAAATATCAAAAGGGCATTTATTTCTAAAAACCAAACATTACCTCTCAAGCGAATAAGATATTGAATTTTTGAGTTATTGGGAAACTCAAGGCCTAGATTTCGTAAAAGAATGAAAGTGACCACGTCAAGTTTTCATAGCCTTATCAATGTCAGAACAAGCCCCCTTCACATTGACCCAACATCTCCGTTTTAGGCACAGAACGCCGCCGATGATTGCGCATCAATTCATGGTCCTTCCCTGAAGAGAAGACGAAGTCAAAATGACTCCAAAAGTCAAACTAGCTGAGCTCACAAGTACTCTCAACCGTCCGATTAAAGTCCATTGCCCCAACAACACTTAGTGGCATCGACGGAAGATTCAGAACGAAGCAATTTAAAGTTAGTCCATCAACTATACATAAATCTTAATTAAGTTCTCAAAGAATCAAGAGTTTCCAACCAAACCCTTCCGTCGACTATCATTTGTTAATGGGGTCTATGAGAACATTTCATATTATTGCTCACATGTTCACGAGCTCTCGTTTTAAAAAACAAATTTGGGAAACTTAATTGAGAATCACAACATCAATTGGAAAGTGATTTGACTGTTTTTATTATTGCTAATGGTGTCTCATGTTTCAAAAAATGGATTTAGGAGCTCATCAAATGTTTTTATTGGAGACTGATGGGGTGATTTGATTAAAGACCTGGGACTTTTAATGACCTGAATGCAATAAAAAATTCCTTGAGAACTCAATTGACAATCTCTATGTATTCCGGGGACCAATTTGAATTTTTCCCATTTAAATTGTACAAAGCATCCCATTTTATTCTTCCCCGTGAACTCTTTGCCTATTTCCCTTGTCACGTCCCCCTTGTCGCTTAATAACGAAAATGGGATGTTCACTTGGAAGTAACAAAAATGAAACTGGAATTAGTAACTTTGCTTTCCCCGAAATTACATGCACCTGCTCTTGTAACCTTGCATCATCATCAGACACTTAATGGGCCCCTCCATTAACGAATCTGATGCTAACACAAGAGCTAGCTGCGCCGTCTGATTAAGACGTCCATCAACGCTCGTGAACCCCGCAATCGCCTGCGTCAACTTAAATGGAAGAAGTAAAAATTAAAGGGACTAAACTACATATATGTCCACCCTCTGTAAGTAGTTTTGCTACTTACTCCCTGATGCTCTAATTTTAACAATATCACACTCCACACAAGTCACTAATCATAATATAAAAGCTTTTATCTTATAAAATAAATATAATGTGGACATTTATCTAAATATTTTTTTAATTTTTAATTAAAAAATAGTATAGCAAAAAGACATAAATAACTAGTTGTTTTAGCAAGAGTTAGATGATATTATTCTATTTATTCACGTTGATTTTTGACATTATAAAAAAACTAGGAATTAATTTAATAAAAACCAAATTGCTTCATTAGAATCTTTAACCATAACAGTGATGGTGTTTGGATTCTTCTTGCTTCTACATTCAAATGTACATATTGTTTATAATTTTTAAAATAATTCATTATAAACATGAAAATCTATTTTAAAACTTATTATTACCTTATTAACTATCGAGTTATTTTTTTATGATAATAACAATAATATGATCATATATCAATTATTAGGGTAGTTTTTTAGAGTTGTTTGAAAATATAATAAAAATTATTTTTAAAAATGATTTTTACTTGAAAATATATTAAAATAAAATATTTTTTATTTTTAAAATTTTATTCTTGACATCAACACAAAATAATAATAATAATTTAAAGCTAAAAAAATGTAAATACGTGGTTGAACCACAATGTTAATAAAAAGAGCTTTAATTCAAATTAGATTCTATTTTCTCCTATAATACGAGAGTGGAGTGAAAGTTAACTATAACACAATTTTTCAACCATTGTCATATTTGGCCACATAAATTATTAACTTATGGGACCGAACTAAACATTATTATATATTTGAGGACTATAGTTGCAGTTTGCTGACATAAAATTAAATATCGAACAGTTTACCTGCAGACACGTCCAAGCACACACACACTAGCTCTACCAGCTACTTTCCTCTCCCCCTTAAAAAAAGGAAGTGCAAGAATGTGGCAAGCGATCAAACAATAGAGCAAGGGCGACTGGGTACAAAAGAAGAAAGCAAACGTTGAAGCTAAAAAATGCAGAGAATTCCATTTTTATCACGGATTCTTCTGTTCTGCTTAGCTTTCTCTACTTGCTTAGCTAAACAACGTGAGTAGCTTTCTCCACTCAACTTCATTGACTTTTCTTCTTCAATTGTGCTAAAAAAAGATCGACTCTTTTGTCGTTAGGGATTTGGATTGGTGATTTTTTAAGTGAATTTCACTTGCATTTTAGTTTATTTTATCATTTGTGAGTTGTTCTTTTGAATGTTGTTAATGATTTTGTGTTTTTTTTTTGGTTTTTAAGTTTCTTGCCTGCTTCTGAGGAGGGTTTTTTTTTTAACTTCCGTGTTGTATTGGTGTTTGGGGAGAGGAGTAGAACTGGGAAAACAATGAGTGTTTTATTTTATTTTTGTTATTAAAATCTTTGGATATGGTGATATTGACTGCTGAATATGATTTGGATCTGTTTGCTTGGCAAGAAAGTGTTGGAAAAGAAAGTTACAATTTTAAGAAAGTGATGGAAAAGAAAGTTACAATTTTTTTTCTTTCTTTGCTGTATATCTGTCGAGAAAACAAGAATACTGAAGTATACTAAACTGGGACTAAGACAGCTATTTGGGGTTTTGTTATTCTTGATCTAATAATTTCTTTGGGGACAAGAACATGAAAACATGTTGTATTCTAATGTATAGGGAAAATTGAAATGGCAAGAGAAAGAATTCTTTCTATATTTTTTGTTGATTCTGTTGGTGTATTTGGGTATTTGATCTGTTCTGTAACTTTGTCCAATGGACCGGGCTACTAGAGTCCAGAGCAGAAACTATTGGTAGATATATTATAAGTTGTTTAGTATTAGAGGTGACAAAGAAAAAATGCGTAGCCTTTTGGGTTCAAATTCACATTTGAACGATCAAATAAGTAGATGTCAAAGTAACAAGGTGAATACATATATTTTTGGTATGAGGCTTGCACCATTTTCTTCATTTAGCAAATGTGAGTTCAATCTTTTATGTTAGAATGGAGTGCTAGAGGATAGATCAATGACTATATCTGCTTTGACATTATAAAAGTCATTCTTCCTTTTCAGTGTTACTTATTAGATTTCTACTCCTGGCACAGCACCTTGGGTTATGCGCATAAGTTGTGGAGCTCGGTTAAATGTTCACACAGCACCAACCAATACTCTTTGGTTTAAGGATTTTGCTTATACAGGAGGGATTCCAGCAAATGCAACACTTCCTAGCTACATCAGTCCTCCACTAAAAACTCTTCGTTATTTCCCCCTATCATCAGGTCCCAATAATTGCTACAATATTAAGAACGTGCCAAGCGGCCATTATGCTGTAAGGGTTTTCTTTGGACTGGATGGACATCCTAATTTTGATAATGAACCTTTATTTGACATTTCAGTAGAAGGCACCCAAATTTATTCTTTGAAATCTGGGTGGACTAACCAAGATGACCAAGTTTTTACTGAAGCTCTAGTGTTTCTAAATGATGGAACAGCCTCTCTCTGTTTCCATAGCACAGGTCATGGAGATCCAGCTATACTTTCTATTGAGATTCTTCAAGTTGATGATAGAGCATACTATTTTGGCCCGGCCTGGGGTCGTGGGATAATCCTGAGAACAGCTGCCAGATTGAGCTGTGGTAATGGGAAACCGAAATTTGATGTTGATTATAGTGGGGATCATTGGGGTGGGGATAGATTTTGGAGTCCAATCAAAACTTTTGGCCAGGGATCTGATTTAGCTACATCTACTGAAAGTAGCATCAAGATGGCTTCAAATGCTCCAAATTTTTATCCAGAAGCTCTTTACCAGACAGCCCTTGTTAGCACCGATACTCAGCCAGATTTAGCATACACAATGGATGTGGACCCCAATAGAAACTACTCAATTTGGTTACACTTTGCTGAGATTGATTCTTCAGTCACGACTGCAGGGAAAAGGGTATTTGACATTTTGATTAATGGTGATGTTGCATTTGAAGAGGTTGATGTTGTCAAAATGAGTGGGGATCGTTATACTGCTCTTGTACTTAACACCACAGTTGCTGTGAATGGAAGAGCTCTGACAATCAGCTTGCATCCTAAAGAAGGCAGTCATGCCATAATCAATGCCATTGAGGTGTTCGAGATCGTTGCAACTGAGTCCAAAACTTTATTGGAAGAAGGTGCATATACCTTCTGGTTCTTGTTATCTTCTGTTGCACCGCTTTGGCCATTATTTAACATGTGTTCCTAATCACCTTACAAAGTGCATCACATTGTTGATTCATGTGGCATGAGCATTAATACAGACCTTCTGCAAGTTTTCAGAAGACAAAGTTTCAAACACATATTATACTGCTGTATATCTGCCATTGATCTTCATTACATTAAACACATCTTTTCTAGTTTGTCTTGTGGTGCTTTTTGCTTGGATTTATTCTACAGATAGGAATAGCATTTCTGGAAAGTTTGGAATGTATAATCTGTTACTAATCTGGTTGTTCTTTAATCAGTAAGAGCCTTACAATCATTGAAGAGTGCATTGGGCCTTCCTCTTCGGTTTGGATGGAATGGTGATCCGTGTGTTCCCCAACAACATCCTTGGAATGGAGCGGATTGCCTTTATGACAAAACTAGCAGCAAATGGTTTATTGATGGACTGTACTGTCTCAATCCTTTTCCTCAAAATGATTTATTTTCACGTTTTACTTATATTTATCTGGGAATAAATATTGTTTTTTTATTGATTCCATCTTTTTATTCATTCATGCAACTCATTATCATCTTGGTGCATGGTGCCACTAAAAATCATGTAGAAAATTGGGAACACCTCTGCATTTTTTGTTAAACAAGAAATCCTTCTGCAGCAGTGCATAACAAGTTTCATGGCATTACCAAATAATGTCATCCATAGAAAAAGGCTTTATTAAGTATTTCTCTGTAGTTATGCACTTATTTTGGGGTGAGACGGAAAACTTGCAAAGCTCTAATTGATTTAAGTATCTGCTGACCAGACTTTCTATTGAGAATTTAATATGAAATCCATATGTTTCATCAAATTAATATGAAGATCTAGTAGTAAACTGTACCTTTGAATTTGTTTTATAATTGACTAATTATAGGTCTCATCTCCAGTTAATCTGGCATTAAAACTAATAATTCAGTTCTTGGTATTTTTTATGTCAATATCATACATCACTTAACATGGATTACTTCATGTGCAGTGGCCTTGACAACCAAGGCTTGAGTGGTTTCTTGCCAAATGACATATCCAGGCTACTTCATTTGCAGAGCATGTAAGCATCTAGCACATATAATTTCTACTTGCATTTTAAACTCCTGAAATGTTGGTCACTTCAACCTTCTAATAACACTTCATTTTCATCTTCTATTTCACTCTAACTTCGTACGTTCACAGAAACTTGAGTGACAACAACATCCATGGAGCTATTCCACCATCAATTGGATCAATAGCTGGCTTGGTAGTTCTGTAAGTCTGCTTATCCATTTATCCCACCATTGATTCTTATTTCTATACAAACAAAAACATTTTCTGATGATAATAGATTCCACCAAATTAGCTACTGGGACAGCATGCGACACTTGATAAAACATGATTAGTTAGATGATAATTCTTGAATTATCATTTATTTTTCTCATAAACAATATGCATATAGGTAAATTGTCTAGTCAAGTCCATTGTTTCTCCAACTGGTCACATCTCCTGCTTACATTAACAGGAAATAGAACTCTGATCTTTCACTGATTTTGCATTTGTATTATTTGATAAGATGCAAATGAGGAAGTTGATTTTTGCTTAACTCACTTTGATTACCCAACAAAAGAAAGAGAGGAAAGAAATGCTTAAAGAAAAAGAACAGAGCACAAAATAAATTTCTATCTGGTACATTTATTCTTTGAAAGGAAAACTGATAATACCCATATAAATCTAACACATTCTAATCATTAGTCGTGATCATTCAAGTATGCTTGAAACTCTTATAAAAGCCCTGTGATGTATTACTTGTAGGTTGTAGCAGGCTTGTTATTGGTAAAAAGTATTAAGCTGCCAGCAATGCAATTCAAATAACCAGCCATAGAAAATTTATAAAATATTGGTAACACTTATAATGATAGATTCGTAACAGGAGAAGTAACACTTGTAATGATAGATTCGTAACAGGAGAAGTATTTAACAGGTTTCTTTTCTTTTCCTTTTCGATCTAAATCCCAATATCTGAGTAAAAAAAATCCCATTATCCATACCTTCAAAATCACTATTTATTAATTTCCACAGTAGTTTGAATAATATATGAAATTTGCATCATTTAGTTTTAAATAAGGTGGCTTGCAAGCAAGATCTTCTTTTTGCCTTCTCTTTCCTTTGTTAGGTGAGTTTCATTTCACTTCATATCTGTTTTGTCAGTAATAGGGTCCTGTCCTTGAGGGAATGTTCAGTCAGCATAATGTCAATTTGCAACTCAGCTTTTCTATTTTATGAGAGACAATTTGAAAATAACTATGGTTTTAGAACCAAAGAAAGAAAGAAAAAAGAAAAAAAGAAAAGAAAGGGAAAACAAGAAAAGAAGAGAAAAGTTGATGTGGGATACGGGAAAAGAAGAAAAGAAGAGAAAAGTTGATGTGGGATGTGAATCAGCTGATTGTTAGCTTCTGGTTCAAACACAGAAGCTGGCTGCAAATAGAAGTGCATTTTCCGGTCCTAAATATGTGATCTAACTGTACTAATAAAATTTCTCCTCTTATATATTGCATGCAGGGACCTTTCCTACAATCTCTTCAATGGATCAATTCCTGAAAGCCTTGGACAGTTGACATCATTGCGAAGACTGTAAGAATTTTCACACGCAGCTAATTAATCCACAAAAAAATTGTATTCAAGACTAATTTATGCTGTTATGTTGTAGGAATCTCAATGGTAACTCTCTGTCTGGAAAAGTCCCAGCAGCTCTAGGAGGAAGGCTTTTGCATGGAGCTAGCTTCAAGTATGTTGCAATAAGTGGTGCTCTTAAATATTTGCTGGCTTTGAACGGAATACATGCCATAACATGTTTATGATATGTTTGAACATGTTGACTTAAAGACTTATGCATAACCTTTGGTTTGTTTTATCATGGTGGGAAAAAAAGAAGCTATAACTGAATTTCATTCATTACCAGGTCTACAATAATACTCACTGTAGTTTGTGCAGTTTTACTGATAATGCAGGTCTTTGTGGCATACCTGGATTGCCTACGTGTGGCCCTCACCTCTCTGCTGGTGCAAAAATTGGTGTTGCATTTGGTGCTTCTGTTGGATTCCTTCTAATGGTTATCTGTTCAATGTGTTGGGGGAAAAGACGACAGAATATCCTCCGTGCACAGCAGATTGCAGGTAAGGGTATTCATGATAAACTCTGAGCAACATGATGGCATAATTTATATTCATTGCTGTAATATAGAGAATACTTTGGTCTCAGACATAGTTATAGATGGAATGCTCAAATGCACATGCCTGCTTGAGAAGGACCATTAGGTTTCTCTTCTTTGCAAGCTTATATTGTCCTCCTCCTGTTATTTACAGCAAGAGGTGCGCCTTATGCAAAAGCAAGGACACATTTATCGCATGATATCCAGTTGACAAGGCATTATAATCATGGCAACGCCCGGACAGCTGCTGAGAATGGACCTATCTTACTCTCATGATTAATCAACAAGTAACACAGAATCCAATGCGTTTGAAATTTGCTTCTACTCGAGTTTTTGGATTCCGATTAGTTTCCTTCTGAACATGAACCCTCCCAATTCGATTTGTACTCCCATTCTCGTGGAACTCAGGGTTCAGCAAAAAAAATTTTTTATGAGGTTTATAAGGTCAGAAACATCAATAGATCCCATCCTACTTAGGTGGCATCAAACGTCATATAGAGTGAAAAATCATATAGAGTGCTTCTCATCTCCCATTCTTTGGTTCAGTTCTGGCAGGGGAAGGTTGTATGGCTTCAAAGGATTTATGCATGGTGATAGCAAAATGGCTGCTGTTATTTTTTTTTTCTTGGGTTCATAGAAAGAGATTGTTGTTATATATACACAAACTATGATTTAAATAATATAACAAATACACAAATGTAATTGCCACCAACCCTTCATGCTAACTCCATAATTTCTGCAGGAATTGAACGTCCTTTTGCTATTTTATTCTTTCACGTTCTTTTTTCTTATCTTTTTGTCTAAAACTTGACTTGCATATTCTTAATTTTACAAGGTAACAGCCCTAATGCTTAGGTAATTAATATATAAAACTGGATTGATATATAAGTTCTTGTGCACACAAGTCTAATGTGAACGGAGAGACCCGTACATCTCCTTGAACATATAAAAAAATAATCTAACAAACTAGTATTAAAGCTCCCATAACTTGGTTTGCTCTCTCCATTGTTGAGTTAAACTCTAAGCTTCAATTGGATATTATTAAGTACTTGTGCTAGAGGAGGTGAGCTTAAATGGGACTGACTTGCCATGCGAGAAGATATTTGAGAGTGCATATACGAGTGATAAACATATTCTCACATTAAAAAAAAAATAAAAAAATATGTGCTTATATACAAGATTTTTAGATTGAGGCACGTGGTGTACATAAGCCTTTGTGCATGCAAGTCCAGTAGTTCCATGCATCTTCTCAGTAATATTCCTGTCTATCCTTTGAAAGGACATATATCTTATTAAAAAAAAGGAGGTTAATAAGAGGTCAAGGAATTGGAAATTAATATTTCCGTTAAACTCAAACCAAACATGACCTAAAAAAGGGTTAGCATTGGAAAGCGAGAGAGTCTAAAGTGGCGTTATAGGGGCGAATATAAGGTTTTCGCGACATCATCTCTTCATCTCTATCCAGTGAAGGATATGCTCAAGGAGCAAGCATAATGGTTAGAGTTACACAGACAGTACAATCCATGAATGATGTCATTGTTTAATTACTGGATGCATGCATGTGTGCTTAAGCAGAGGATACAGCCCTCAAGACTATTCAAAGAATACATGTGCAGATAGTTAAGGGCAAAGCTTAACTCTGTGTCAGAAACTTATTTAACACTTTGGCCAGCAGCGAGCAGATCTTGTACTAACTGCTAGTAACCCATAATTTGAAATCTGGTTCTAAGTTGGGGCCTCGAAGCTGAAGAAAGCTGACCTCATAGCTATAGAGTGAATTTACTTTCCTTCTTTAATCGAGTTTGATCTTTTTGGACCACGTTTCGGACATATTACCATTCAAACACTCCTCCCGCAAGGCTAGCTTTTGGCAGAGGCAAACTTTTTCATTCTGTGTCGTGTTGAATGTCCACAGAGAGCAAAAGCAGAATAGGGCTAAAATGGTGTTCTTCTCCTTCTCCTTCTCCTTCTTCTTTGTTTTCCTGATTCATGTTTTCCTATCCTCCAAATCAGTGGCAGTCATTAATAAAGCATGATGAACACAGAGAAAAATGTATTCGTTATATTCTTGCAAGTATGAACCCCTTGACGCAAGCTTGACAAAAATCGCACTTGTAGATCCAGATTTTGGGGGAGTAAATAATAATAATAATAAGCCCATATGGTGGTCCTATCCATGCAAATGACCTATCAACTATGATTCTGATTAGAACAGGACACCCTCCTCCTCAGCCTCCCCTAAGCTTTGTAGCAGTGCAATTATATAAAAAAAACAAATAATGAAAAAAATTCCTAGATACACCACACGTGTCTCCGATGTAATAATTAAAGCACAGTCGCAGAAAAGAACTAAAATCATGAAAATAATAATAATCATCATAATATACCTTTCACGTGAACATGTGTCAGTTACCCTCCCTGAGATTTTTCAGTCACCAACACAACCCCCAAGATTCACCACCCACCACTACAAGCACACCACCGTACCTCCCACCCTCTCCCCCTACTCTATATATATATATATATAATCCTTTTTTCTTTTTCCTTTTCTTTTTTTACCCTACTTTCCTTTGTTTTTATTTCTAGTTAAAAAACAAAACTACCTTCCATTTTTTTTGCCAATTCACAGCTTGGGTTTTCAAAAACATACAACGGTACGTGTTCACAAAGTTCAGGTTTGGAGGGCAAATCGGATAACCTGCTAACTTATTCTTGGCTAGGGTTGTATTTTATTCAGTTAAATTTAATCCATTTAATATGTTAATTTATGACATGATTAACGTAGATAAAATCCAGGTAATTTTCTTAAACAACTTGTAATTTTTAAAAAAATTCTTGAAATTACGCTATTTTAGATTGTCCAAATTCAAATTGAACCTTGCTCCAACTAGATTTTATAACTATGCATTTAAGTTGAATATGGCATTATTAAAAGTGAAAAGGAAAGAAAAGAAGAAAGAAACCAAAAGGGGCTCTTCCATCGGTGGCAGCCATGGAGTTGCCGGAGTAGATAGATACTTTAGGTTAAAGGGGTATCCAGGGTTTGTAGGGAATCTGATGGCTAAGCATGGTGATCAAAATTTTACAGACGATGATTTCGAGCTGCCTCCATGTCGATGGCAAAATCGATTTGATACATTGGTAAACTAAAGAAGAAGAAGGCTAAGTTTGTCATTTACTCTCAAATATTCAGATTATTTTTTTTTACCACGATAATACATTTTGATGATAATGGTTTTGTTAGGCCAAAAACCGAGTCAACACACTATCTAAATATAACTCAAACTCGGGCCTGTCTCCCCAGCTCAGACACCACAACCCCATGTATCCTCCACGTGGGGGCTCTGTGACACTTTTCTCTTTCTTGGCTCTCTGCAACTAAAAAACGACAGCAGCAACCATCCACTCACTAACAGACACGCCAACCACTAGACCCTGCAATATCTGATCCGATCTAATAATCATAATTATAATAGCACACGCATATGCATGCACCCTCGCTAGCTGCCTCTAAAAAATTGAGAGACCACCTCATTATTTATTTTAAAATATATATTTTTGTTAATATATGTAGTAAATAATAACTTTTTTATGTTTTAAAAATTATTTTTTATATCACTGCGCTCAGCAGCACGGTACATCTGGGTATTTGTTTACTTGCTCGCTTGCTAGGGCTGACGTCAACATTACAAGCACTAATTTGTGGTCACACGACATCCACTCGCTCACGTACATATGTTGTGTTTTGTTACGCACGCTCTCCCTTCTCATGTCTAATCAGGCGGCGGCTATGACATTCTATTGTTCTTTTTATTTACTATTATCTATTTATTTATTTTTAAGTACGCAGGACCTGGTCATTTTAATCAATGATAATACTCTAAATTGACTTGTGCCTTTAGATATTCACTTGTATATCCTTCCATAATTCTTAGTGATATTAAACGAGTTTTTTTTATTTAAATTTTATACATTAAAAAATACTATTAAAATACCATAATTTTAAAAATATTTAAAAAAATATCATAGTTTAGAGACTCACAAAACAAAAAAACACTAGTTTTTTTCATAAATTATAAAATAACCTTACTCAATTTACAATAAAAATATAAGAGGGGAGAGAAAGGAAGAAACTTTAAAAGCACACTAAATTTTCAATGACAATATCAATGATATCATCGACAAGATCTTAAAGAGATAAATCAAATGATATTAACGGTGAACGAAATAGATCATGCGAGCCTTTCAAAGATAGTAGGGCTCATTTGTCTTTGGATAGTTTATGTAGCATATTTTAATCACTATTATTGATTTTATTTGATACTATTAGATTTGTTTTCTCAAAATTATTTTGACAATATTAGTGGTGTGGTTCTTAGAATTACACTTGGAATAAAAATCTTTTATGTATAGTGTAACATGTAATAGTTAACATACACAAAAAAAGTAACTTCCATTTTTTCTTGGATTAATGATGATAAACTAGTCATGTTTGGACGACATACATCATTTATAATGGAAAAGAAGATGAAGAGAAATAAAATGATACAATTAAAGCTTATTTTTTATAATTAGAAGCTGCCATACAGACTATTCAAAATATACGATAGCTCAGCATGTTAGCAACCTTTTCAAATAAAAGATACTATTTTAATGCCAAATCATGTTATTATTATTATAAACAAGAATAATAATTAACAAAAAAATTGAGGTTAAAAGATCTTAATACCTTTAATCTTACTTAATTAAATTTTTTGGATGCAATGATACATGTGTAATTCTATTATGTACAAAAAAAAATGGGAGAGAAAGGAAGAAACTTTAAAAGCACACTAAATTTTCAATGACAATATCAATGATATCATCGACAAGATCTTAAAGAGATAAATCAAATGATATTAACGGTGAACGAAATAGATCATGCGAGCCTTTCAAAGGGGAGAGAAAAGAAGAAACTTTAAAAGCATACTAAATTTTCAATGACAATATCAACGATATCATCGACAAGATCTCAAAGAGATAAATCAAATGATACTAACACTGAACGAAATAGATCATGCGAGCCTTTCAAAGATAGTGGGGCTCATTTGTCTTTGGATAGTTTATGTAGCATATTTTAATCACTATTATTGATTTTATTTGATACTATTAGATTTGTTTTCTCAAAATTATTTTGACAATATTAGTGGTGTGGTTCTTAGAATTACACTTGGAATAAAAATCTTTTATGTATAGTGTAACATGTAATAGTTAACATACACAAAAAAAGTAACTTCCATTTTTTCTTGGATTAATGATGATAAACTAGTCATGTTTGGACGACATACATCATTTATGATGGAAAAGAAGATGAAAGAAATAAAATGATACAATTAAAGCTTATTTTTTATAATTAGAAGCTGCCATACAGACTATTCAAAATACGCGATAGCTCAGCATGTTAGCAACCTTTTCAAATAAAAAATACTATTTTAATGCCAAATCATGTTATTATTATTATAAACAAGAATAATAATTAACAAAAAAATTGAGGTTAAAAGATCTTAATACCTTTAATCTTACTTAATTAAATTTTTTGGATGCAATGATACATGTGTAATTCTATTATGTACAAAAAAAAATACCTAGATACCTCCACTCAATTTTTTATTTATTTTTTACTTTTAAGGATATTTTATTTATTTTATTGTTTATTAAAATATTGAATA